CTTAATAATATAATTAAAAAATTATTTATATATATATATAAACTAAAATTAAAAATATTTATACGTAAAAATTTATATTATTTTATTTTTCTTTTAAATTATTCATATTTATTTATAAAAAAATAAGAGCGGAGGCAAGAACGGGACGGGCAAACCCGAACCCTGCCAGAAACGGGGATGGAAACTTAGATTTTGCTTCTAGCGAGTTTCGGGTCTAGGACAGTTTAAATTTGCTGGACGGGACAGGAAACGTAAAACCCCCCGTGCCTAGATGTGATGACGAGACTAGGCGGAGAAATTTCCAGTTAAACATGCAACTCACCCAATTGCGTAGAATCACACCGTGTTTCATCTCAATAGATCGGTTTTCTTCAATAAGGAACCACATTCAGCAAGGATCATTCATATGTGCTCTTCTCACGTATAAACAAACCCGCCAAGAAGGATTCTACAACTCCAGCGTGGTCCCCCTGTTACTCAAAGCATGCGCTTCTCTTTCCTTCCTTCATCACGTGAAGGCCTTGCACGCTGAGTCCATCAAGGCAGGTTCAGATTGCCACGTCGTCATCGGAACCGCATTGCTTGCCGCGTACGCCAAATGCGGCGTCGTTAGGGATGCACGCGATGTGTTCGACACGATGCCCGAGAGAAATTTCGTGACTTGGAATGCCATGATTAGTGGGTACTTGAGGAACGGGGACACGGAATCTGCTTCTCTCGTGTTTGGTGAAATGCAGGGGAAAACGCAAGTGAGTTGGAGTCAGATGATTGGTGGGTTTGCTAGGATTGGAGATATTGTTACTGCGAGGAGGTTGTTTGATGAGGTTCCCCGTGAGTTTAAGGATGTGGTGACGTGGACTGTGATGGTTGATGGGTATGCTAGAATAGGGGAGATGGAAGCTGCTAGGGAGGTTTTTGAGATGATGCCTGAAAGGAATTGTTTTGTGTGGTCGTCTATGGTTTGTGGGTACTTCAAGAAGGGCAATGTGGTGGAGGCGGAGGCAGTTTTCGACCGGGTTCCAGTTCGGAATTTGGAGATCTGGAACTCCATGATTGCTGGCTATGTACAGAATGGATTTGGAGAGAAAGCACTGCAGGCTTTTGAGGGAATGGGGGCTGAAGGGTTTGAGCCGGATGAGTTCACTGTTGTTAGTGTTTTGTCAGCATGTGCCCAGCTGGGGCGCCTGGATGTTGGTAAGGAAATCCATCACATGGTAGAACAGAAAGGGATAACTGTGAACCCGTTTGTGTTGAGTGGATTGGTTGACATGTATGCAAAATGTGGTGACTTGGTCAGTGCAAGGTTGGTGTTTGAAGGGTTCACTGGGAGGAACATTTTCTGCTGGAATGCTATGATTTCAGGTTTTGCTATCAATGGAAAATTCAGGGAGGTTCTCGAGTTTTTTAGCAGGATGGAGGACTCAAATGTAAGGCCTGATGGTATCACCTTTATTACTGTACTCTCGGCTTGTGCTCATGGGGGTTTGGTCAGTGAAGCTTTGGAAGTGATATCCAAAATGGAGGCATATGGAGTTGAAGTTGGCATCAAGCATTATGGATGCTTGGTTGACCTCTTGGGCAGAGCAGGAAGATTAAAAGATGCTTATGACTTGATGATAAGAATGCCAGTGAAACCTAACGACACAGTTTTGGGGGCAATGCTTGGTGCATGCCGGATTCATTCAGATATGAACATGGCAGAGCTAGTAATGAAGTTGATCCGTGAAGACTCTGCTACAGGTGCGGATTCTCACAATGTGCTTTTGTCCAATATATATGCAGCTTCTGAAAAATGGGAGAAAGCTGAAAGGATGAGGAGGCCCGTGGTAGATGGAGGATCTCAAAAGACACCTGGGTGTAGTTCAATAATCTTTAGTGACTCTTATGGATTGAGTGAGGTAGTTCCACGTTAAAATTAATGGCCCAAGTGCAATCTAAAAAGGAGAAATACGAAAATAAACACTGCTCTATACACGAAATAGCCTAGTGGCAACAAAGATGCGTGGGCTTTTTACACTGTGAGGCCCCAAGCCAAGATCAATGGATGGTTGCTGCCTCCATTATGGGGTAATATTCTAACAGTTATTTTATTGGTAAAGCCATTTAATTTGTATTTCTGATGAAAGAGTTGTCTGGGTAGAGGGCAAGGAACTGCGCTTTGAAGCCACATGCCTAGTGTTCAAAGCCAGTGAAGGTTGATTCAATCCGCAGGAGCCAATGAAGTTCTGAGTTCAATTTATGTTGATGGTTCTTCTTTGATAGATCATTTATAAGTACCATGACAAGCCTTCACCGAGACCTGTGTCAATGCCTTGACTTAGGATTAGGACAAATCCCCCATCCCTTAAACTTTAGATTGTTGAAAATTACGTAACAAAGCTTCTTAACTATCACAGTATCACTATAAAGTTTCATAGTATTTGATGTATACTTAGAAGGTAGAATGACACCTACCAAATGTAACAAAACTGGTTTGGTATATTGAAGGTTCAAAGATTTAACATATATGATCTCTCGATTCACATAAATCCCAATCAGACAAAGTAGTGGGAAACAACCTCTTCGTTGTACTATACTACAAATACGGAAAGCTGCATTTCAATGATCTCTTAGTTCACAGAGGATTCTAATTATACGACCCGAAAAGACTCAGCTATCTTCTTCAAATCATCGTAGTGTCTCTTCCACTGAAGACCTGCAATAAGTTGAGACAACATCACAGTTTTTCCTGTTAGTTTTCATAATTTCGTTATATACTTTCTGGCTGTTCAGACTTGATGTTGTGAAACTAGTTAGAAGAAGATAAATGGCCATACCACTGCCTGTTACACCAAACAAATATAAGCGATTGCCGGCTGCAGTGGCAGTAATGAAAATATGAGGAGGCTCTAGCTCAAACTGATAATATGTTCTTCCTTCATGTTCTGCTACATTAGAACTTAGAACCTTCCCTTCCACATTTTCCCCAATCATTTCCGGACCAAAAGCATTGATCACTTTCTCTGGAGGTCCAATTTTTTCTATTGTAGCATTGTCACCAAGATCTGTACAGATGTATAGTAAAAATGTTATCATATAAAACAAGTAATAATGGAAGTTCCACCTAGAAGTTTCCATGTGCTTTCTGTTTCAATTTTATTCTCCTTGTCTCCGGAAAGCTAAAATGGAGAAAGAAAATTAGGCAAACTCGGTACTCACTATCAGAGAATCTAAGAACAGGGGCAACAATGACAAACAAACGTCCTTCCTTAGAGCTGGCAAATCTCAAATCTATCTCTGTGCCACCAAGATCTGCTATTGATACTGGTACCTGTTAAGCAGATGTATGATAGCTGAAGTATACAGAAAGCAAGCAAGAAGAATAAAAAAAGAGATAAAATGTCCTCTAGATGAACAAATGTGAGAACATATCTTTCAGATTAAAAGATAAGTAAATTGCTCACCCAGAAAGAGAGAAATAGGAGTTGTTTCATTAGTCTTTGTAAAGAATTTCCACTGTATACTTAAAACTTTTCAATACTCGGGACCAGTTGAGGTAGAAAGAAATCTAAAAGGGATTTTTTCCAACTTTAATTAGAAGAGATCTTTAATATCACCTCTTCCCATTCTTCAGGCACTCTGAAGCTGTATGGGATAATAGGACTCCATCCAACCCCATGTCCTCCTGACTTTTCATCTGGCCTGCGATATGTCCTCCAGCCTGTCTGATCAAATACTTGCTTACATTATCTCACTTTCATTTAAAATCTATAGCAGAAGATACAAATGGAAATCCAACTTGAAAAACATGTATGAACTCAAGTTTAGAATTAAACATTCCGTATATAAACTCTACAAATGGAAGAGAATTATTCTTTTCCCCCTGGAATGATCATTTGGTAACTGGTAGACTGAAACATTTTAGTCCTCCTAGTCTTAATGGTTACTAAGTATTAAACCAGTGTTGGACCAAATAGAAAACTTTTTAAACTAAACAATAACAATCATACGATTTATTTTCCATAATAAATTTTGACACTGTCCATGCCATCCTTCATCATGCAACCATGAATACATTTGCTGTTTCATGGCTTCCATTTGAAATTTCTCTTTCTTATGGTTTTTATTCTGTGACTTTTCTTTCATGTAATGTAACACATTCATTCACTGTGCTAATTCCTACAGTTTAGTATACAGTCATGAACTAAATAATAGACTTAATTTTTTATGATACAAAGTGAACGAACCTTGTTCATCTGGTTCAGACAGACCAGGAATTCTCCCTGCTAGAAGGCCTTGTTTCACCACGGCCAAACTCTCACCCGGGAAGCCCAACAAGGAAACCCCAGAAGCCAAGACTGTTCTTCTGTTCACCAACAAAGAAGAACCCTTCTCACTTTCTCTGTTGATGTCTTTTGAGGCTGAAGCAGCTACAGTTCTTAAAGTTCCATTTTGGAGTGAGGAGTGGCAAAGTGTCTGTGAAGAGGGTGAGATATGCATGTGCTGTGGATTCCTCCAGCGAAGCACACTGGTCGTGGACAAGGCTGTTGCCATGTCCACGAAGGTTTATGTGCTTATTGGTTACTTTAGGATGCTAGAGAAAGGGGAAAAGAATTTCGTCAACTCAGAAAACAAGATTGCAGAAAATCATAGGAACCGATGTCCGATGGGAAGATTAATGCAGAAGTTGAGGTCCTAATAATAGGTATGCCGAGCTTTAAGAATTTTGTGGATACGGTAACGGTGTCATTGTGGTCAAGAAGCTCCAACATTTGTTTGTTACTTCTATTTTGCTAACAAGTGTCTATTTCTGGCCTAACACGTGTCATTCATACAACTAAGATATGTGTACACATGTAAAAACAAAGAGTGATATATTACATTTTTGTGAGAATAGAAGCGATATTTGATTGTTGACATTCACACATATTAAATTTGACGTTTAAAAGTTAATATATGATAATTAAAAATTAATATGTATACTTTTCGATATATCCATTTTAGTTTTATAAAAAAAATATTTTCCCTTATAATTTTAATATTTTTAATTTATGTTACGGGAAATGATTCAATTATTTTAAGGGACCTTTAGTATGATAAATTTTTTCATGTTTACTTGTTTCCTTAGGAATCATAAAAATTTATTTATTGGTCATAAATATTTCTGAGAATGTTTTTAAATATTACCATATAATCATGAATTGGTATTGCATCAAATAAACAAATAAAGATAACATGAAATTTTTACAAATTCAAATTTTATTCTTATTTTGGGAAAGTTCTTATTAGGGTCGACAAATAAACTCATACATGTGAATAATGTTTAAACCTATCCCAACTTTGACAAAGAATACTTGGATTAATCAGACACGAGTATGGGTAATACTCGATCCATTAAATCGAGTACGAATACAAGGATGAGTATATATTTACTCGTCCCATACCTGGGGGGACGTGGATGGGGATACATATTTTATACCTGTCAGGTATGAGAATGAGAATGAGTATAGGGTATGAACATGGGGACGAGGATATTAAAACTCGAACCCACCCCATCTCGTTGCCATCCATATTTTCCTACCTCCCCCCATGAGAATCATTTTGTGGAAAGCTTATGCAAAAATCATCCACAGGAAACAATGTTTTTTAGGAATGTTATTTTTTAAATAACAAACCAAATGCGAGAAACTAGTATTGTCAATGTTAGATGCTTGAGAAAGTAAGAATTTTTCGTGTACCAAATGCTTCCTCAAAGTAAGCTTTGGTAAACTTACTTTAATCAATAACTTGTATTCTGAAATTGATTTTTAATGATCTAATTGTTAAATTAGAAATTCTTAATATATTAATCAAATCTACAATTTTTTGCAAAGTTTAAAAACCATATGATAGTTCATTATATAGATTCAAATTGATGTATAAAATGTTTTTATGAATATTCGTCAATTTAAATTAATGAAACGAAGTATCAAATTATTTTAAAACTTTTAAAATTTGTAGACTTTATCTATTTATTAAGAACTCTTAATTTAACGATATGATTGTTGAACTTTAATGTAAAGCATAAGTTATCGAGTGAAATAACTCTACCAAAACTTACTCTTTAAGTTCCCCTATCATAACCTTGCTCTAATGAGAATAATTTTAAATAAATACTATATATGATTAGTTCATCAAGTGTGTTTATCATATGACAGCATTTAACAATATTTGGTTCCGCATATGAATTTTGTGCGATTTGTTCATCAAAGGTTGGTGTAACACCCCGCCTTGGCCGTCATACTAGGGAGAAATAACTAAAAATCAACTGAAATATATATATACTAAATAGTATACTATCAATTAACACAAGTAAGACTACAACCATCCAATAGTAGTGGCTCAACAGGCCATAAAATATATACATTGTCTACAAAATAAACTCTATCACTAGGGGTAGTCAACAAAATATAACTCTCTAGCTCCTGCCACCAAATGACCTCCATCGGCTAACACCAGTTTATCCTTGTCTTGCTCCCATACATCGTATGATCATCGCAGTTCAAACCACATGGAAACATGCAAGGGTAAGCTAGTGAAAATAAGCCACTCATATATATAAAATATACAACACATAATACTTAAACAACATATGAATATAAAAGCAACCTGCAACACAACATCACTATCAACAATAACAACTTACTCATCATGCAACACACAACACACAACTTTATAACAACTTCACAATGTATAAACACATATAACTCATCAACACATATGCTTCGTCACGCATTTTAACTCAGAGATCTCCTACAACACAGGGTGAGCAGTCTAAGTGGCTAGGTCCTACCGAACCGATAACACAGATTAGGCTTGCTAGGTAAACAACAAATTTGGATAAAAATTCACAACACGATAACAGTTTCTCAAACTTTGTCACTTAAACAAGGAAGTATAATACTATGTCAGGATAGGACAGCTGGGTTTAGGTTTACCACGGCATTAGCTAGCTCAACTAAGCCACATATGGGATTAGCCTATTGACTATCCTCCAAATACTACAACCCTTTGATACTTGGTTAGGAACTAAGTTCTCGACTTCGTACTTTAGTCGAATTGGCAACTTGTAATTGGTATAGCTCGACATGGCCCCTATACCGTGGTCGCTTCATACACGTGTTCCTCGACCTTGTCCACACACGGGATCAACTAAGTCCTAGAGGAGAACAACACATCATCCGCTCCAAGGGACAACTTCCCAAGGAAGGTTTTTTAACAAATTGGGCTCTTAGAGCACTACAACTATCTCAATTCATACAATGGGATGAACAACTTCGAAAACATCTCCTCTAGTTCTAGTGATCAACAACTCATCATCACAGCACAATCAACACACAACTTAGCAGCACAATTCAGCTCAACCACTCAAAATAACAACACAACAACTCAGTCAACACACAACTTTTCAACTCATATCATCTCTACTCAGCTACTCAACTACACAACTAGTTTACAACACTATGCTAAACATGCATGTCAATGACATATCAATATTGTTCATATAATATCCCAATATAATTATACAACTTCACAACACAATTATTAACCTAGTTTTCAACTCATCATACTACAACAATCATCATTATTCAACATTTTATCATTTATATCAATACACAATACTTTCATCACATAATACAACTCATACTACATATTTAAAACTCATTTATCAATCCAAATTACACATATAAACAACATACATCAACCTAAACACTCAAAACAACTTTCAACTTAACCAAATCACTCCTTGTGAAATGGAAACCTTCACATAATAGCGGATTATCTGGAGTTATACTACTCCTATCATGCTCATCCTTATCTCATATGAAAGATAAGAAGATTTCCTACAACTCTTATGAAGGCATCAAATCCTAATTCCATCATCTACTTGGTTAAAATTTATAAAAACCGCAACAGCCATAATCAATGCTGACAACTTGACCCCTGTTCACTAAAACAGCCATATCTAGAGTTCTAGACCTCCTTTTTGGGTGATTATGGTTCCATTGGAAATATAACATCCAAGGAGAAAACTTTTATGAAGATCATAAGACCCAATTCGGTCATCTAGCCCCAGCTCTGCAGCGCTCCAGCTCAAACTCTCTGCCAGCTTCATTTTCTCCTGGGCTTCCTGGGGCTATAGCGCCCAACTTGGGGCTGCAGCTCAAACTCTCTGCCAACTTCAATTTCTCCCAGGGCTGCAGCGCCTAACTCGGAGCTGCAGCTCCAAGTTTCGGTCACCTTAATTTCTCATCCAGTTCATGGCTCCCTTTAGCGCTTCAGCACCAAGTGTAGAGGTTCTACACTTCCATGGCTTCCCTTTTCATTTTCCAGCTATAATCCATCAATGTTCACCCCCAAAACATGATCTACCTACATATTCTCTACTCATTTTGTTCATACAACTCAGAAAACACCAGAAATTCCACATGCATGCAACCAAATTCAAAGAAAAATCATCAATGTTACATCTTCCGTCAAGACAACCAAAATCTCAACTTTCAACATGCAACCAACCTTAAACTCACCCCCAAACACTCAAGTTTTCAGAAGCCCAACTAATGTCAAACTTCAATTCAAACAACCGTCTAAGATTCTAGCTTCCCTTACCTTAGAGGGAGAAGAATTTCGGTTCCGAGCTCACGGGGAAGAAAAAGAAGAAGAAAAAGAGAAATGGTGATGCGAACCAACTTCGAGCTTCAAGGCTTTCTACTTTCTCTACTGTCCAACATCTATGTGAATCCTTGAACTTGAGGTTCCTCAACTGAAAAAAAAGTGAGTTGAAAGAGAAATAGAGAAGGAGATGAGTGGGAAGAATAACAAGAAAGGTACGGGTCACAGTTGGGCTATTTTATTTCGAATTATTTGTGGTTCTTGCATGCCCTCTAGTGTAACACTTAAGTTTTCTGAAATTATTAAAAGAGTTTTAATTAATTAAATGAATTTTATCAATATTTTAGAGTTTTTTTAAATGATTATGTGTTTTTAATTAATAAAGAAGATTTGTGAAGTTACTTTGTTTAGAAAAATATGTTTTTATATTGTAAGATATTTAATTATGTTTTTTTTAAAAGAAATAAGGGAAGGAGAAATTTTTATAAAAAAGGTTAAGTGTTGTAGACACCCAATTTCATCCGGGAGCATACAAACAAGGAAATGGACTTCCATTATTGAAGGAAAGAAGCTCCCGAAGCATGGAAACAACAAGACATGACATCAGAGAGCCTAAAGCCCAAATAAGCTGGTTTTAGTAGACCGGAACGGACTGTTCCAAAACCAGAACGGGTCGTTCCCAAACTGGAACAAGTCGTTCCTAAATTGGAACAGGCCGTTCCAATTTATAAAAAGGGCCTAAAACCCTAGTTTGGAACGAGTCGTTCCTAAATTGGAACGGGCTGTTCCAAGCTCCTAAAAAAGGCTAAAACCTAAGTTTGGAACGGGTCGTTCCTAAACTGGAATCGGCCGTTCCAAGTTAAAAAAAAGGCCTAAAACCTTAGTTTGGAACGGGTCATTCCAGCATAGGCAGTTATGTGTTAAACTCACCTCTGGAACGGGTCGTTCTGGTTTCAAAACAGGTCATTCCAAGATACGAAATTAACACACAACGTACAGATCCAGAACTGGCCATTCCGAATTTGGAACGGGCCATTCTGGAAATTTTTGTATGTCTATAAATAACAGACTCGGGCACAATTCTGAGGG